CCTCTGTGGCAGTGTCTCCGTCTGTCTGTCGCAAGGAATCTTCACCACGACGACGTAGATAATTAAAATTTGGCATCGTTGTATTTATGCTACTGGAATACGGAAGTGAGTTTTTCAGGATTGCATTAAATATGCAGAACTGCGTTGTGTAAGTAGAATTTACCGAGTTTTATTCTTTTTTTTTTTAATGAAATGTCTTAAGAAATTTTTTGGCTGCCTTTACAGCTTCATTGAAATAAACTCGTAAGAAGGAACCTACGAGCTATAGAGTGTAACGATTCTGCAGGCGTTGCGTCATCGAATGCAGTCTCAACCCAAGCAGCACGCAAGCTGTATACAAGCTGTATTGAAGGTCGTTATTATACTAGAAGATGTATTGTTGGCTGTATAAAGACTGTAAAAGCGCTTATACAGTTGTTGTAAGTAAAACATTGCCACAAATTGTACAACTTTATGCGTTAGTAGCGCTGTACAGTAGCTGTACAAGCAAAAAAGCGTCTGTACAACAACTGTATTTCTGCTATTATTTGGTGTTCAAAGAAACTATTACACTACAGATACATAGAAGTCACTTTTTAAAGATAAGCGTTCTAAAATTTTTATATACTTTATTGAATAATGGTGATATTTACTGTCAGAGTACAAAAATATATTTAATATGTTAATATTATACTCGAATCAGAGTTGACTTTTGGCGATTTTTTGATAGTTGATGAATAGAAAGTATAAAATTAGACTTACGGTCAGCTTGAATAAATATGTTTTCAAATTATATAAGGATAAAATATTAAATACGGCCACTAAATATCGGTTCTTTAGATAAGAATAAAAATATATTAAATTAATGGATATGAAGGTACATTACGGCATAGTGATCATTGGTCAAACTGAAAATAATGGTATTAGCAATATAATATATATGGTACAACCATTGGTTTTTAATCAGTTGCATAATAGAATATTTTTATTAATTACGCTGTATAGCAGTTTTTTCAACGTAACATATAATTCTCCTTAGCGAAAGGTTTAAAAGATGAAAAACATTGCCTTGGAAACAGTGTTGAATAACTTTCTCTAGTATCTAGATGGTAGAACCACGCTGCGGCTTTGTTATGGTTGTATCACGAATGGGTTGGCCCGACCAGGGTAGGACCACGGTATCATAGAATACCAGCGTAAAATAGCAGCTTAATACTGCTGTCCCTGCCGAAAACCTCTTTTTACAGAAAACGTGGCATTCCATCTAAGTCCTTAGGGGTGATAACGCATCTGCCTTTTGATTCTTAATCGAGGATAAATGTAGATGTCTATGGGCCGTTGAATCCACTTACCATCAGGTGAACTTTGTGCTCGTTTATCACCCTTATGCTATAAAAAAATCTTTTTATTTTTTCAGCATATTGCTAACAGATTAATTTCTTTCACTAGCACAATATAAATATGCAACGCATGCAAAGTGGAAATATTCTGTCACTTTACAGCTTTAAATTGTACTATGTCTGTTATTATTTTTTAGTTTTATATCACCCTCATAGATATAAGTAAAAAAAACTACTGTATTTGCAAGAGAGTACAATAACGCCATAAAAATAAGTTTTAGAAGGCAGTTGCATACATCATTGTTCAGAAATGAGATTTGAGTGATACCATGATAACACTTCAAAAGCAAGTGACAGCATGCAAAAACAGCTTCTATACAGTTTTAATGATAAAACCAGATTCAAGTGTTACAAAATACTTAAAGTTATATACTAGAGATTTCATATTCTGATTAAGAACCCTAAGGTTACTTAGATCCTATAATACAGAATTAATACAGCTTGAGCTGTAAATAACTTATAAACCACTCTTGTAAAGATATTACCTCTTTTCTACACTCTTATAGGCTTCTAAAAGAACTCTAAGTTCTTTCTGACTGGTATATTGATGTTCATAACGCTTGTGTGCTGCTTCGGGAGGCACCCCGGCCCCAACTTTTGGAGTGAGGCTCCTTGAGCTAGAGAAGGAGCTCGATATGATTCGAGGGTCCTTCATAAGGAGGTATAAACCTCGGCTTGAACCACTATCGAAATGTGGGAAAACGGGTCGAAAAACTAAAAAAGCCCCGTATCACGGGTGTAGTACTTCGAGTACGGGGTTTGTCTGTGACTTAACGTTCGCCGACTAGTACAGAACACTAGGGTGTTCTGTACTAGTCGGCCAATCATTATTGGATGTGAATTATTCCAAAAAGAAATTGACTTTCAAGTAATTGCAAAATCTTCTCCATCATACTGGGACAATCTAAAACTTAGACCTACCATAATTTTATAGGCTTTTTCGTTATCACTATATTTCCAAGCAGATTATATTATGATATAATCTTATATAACAGAACGCAAGTAACCCGGGTTCGATCCCCGCCGGCACCAATGAAATTGTTAATTGCAATTTTAAGTGCTGATTTACCACGTGCTTGGCGGTGAAGGAAAACATCGTGAGGAAACCTACATGTCTGTGGAATAAGAGAAAAAAATTTATTAATACACTTCCTTGCCCTAAAACATTCTCAGAAATGAGGGGAGGCCTGTGCCCAGCAGTGGGACGTATATAGGCTGTAACATTACTTTTACTTTATAATCTTAGATGTTTTAGAGAGTTTTTGGATCAGTGATTCCGAATAGATTAACCAAAATTATCAGATGGGTGCACTACCTGAATGTGACATTTAGGTAATCGGAGAAGGTCACATGACTTAAAAGTATTAATTTTAATACTAATTAACTTTAGTTGCGTACCTACAGAAGTATGTAAGTGTTAGTATATTGATAGTCGTAATATATCCAGCGCTGGATACCAATACTTTGTGTAGAAAAAATATTAATTTTGACTTTTATTTGAATTTGAAAACATCAATCGCTGTCGTCAACAGAAGTAAGTACCATTGTTCGGAGCTCACAATGAAAACGCATGTTTACCACAATAAATATTTTATTTCCAAGTCAGTTAAATACAGGTGGTGTCTATATACTAGCATGTTAAATTCCTTAAGTACATTACAGTAATCGTGTTAACATTCGGAAACATTTTAATTGTGTTAGCTGATACTTCTATAATATATATTCAATTAAGATCGTTACAAACATGACAATATATATTATCAGTTAATTATTCTTATTAAAATTCTATTTGAAAAAAAAAACTTGAAAACATTACAATTATTTATAATAATAGAACTGTAACGTTTTCAGAGAACGCACTTTTGAAAGCCAAGTTATTTACTATTTCTATATATTCGTATTTATATTTATCTAATTCTAACCATAAGCTTCTTTTCTTTACATTTTATGTTATATAGTCATTTAGAAATTTATAGGTAAGTCTATATTATTTACTACACAAAAATATTACTTATTTAAAAATAATGAGTTTTTAAATATAGTCCTTACGCTGATTTATCTATAACTGCCAACAAATTCGCTCGTTTATATTTACACTACACACATGGCTAATATTAGAAAAATTACCTTACTTTAAAATTTCGGCATGGGCAACTGGCAACATGTTGAATTATAATATTTAAAAGAAATTAACACTAAAATAAATAATAAAAGCATTTCTTTTGTTTAGAATTAAGTAAATATCGACACATGCATGATTAACAAACACCGTGGACGTATTATGATATATCATGTGTAATAATTTTATATAATATTATTTATTTACAAATTATGTACATCTACAAATATATGCACTTATTGTTAGCGGTACATTTTTATTTATTAATTTTAGCGAAGATTTTTTTGTATGAAATATATTTGTATAAGCTTACACATATTTTTATTGCTTAAATATTAAAGAGTATATCAAGGAAGATATTGTCTACGCAATTGACGATATTATAACTTTATAACAGAAAGCAGTTTCTAATTCAACACATATATTATATCTTTTTTTAGGGTTCCGTAGTCAACTAGGAACCCTTATAGTTTCGCCATGTCTGTCTGTCCGTCTGTCCGTCCTCGCTTAATCTCTGTGACCGTTAGCACTAGAAAGCTGAAATTTGGTACCAATATGTGTATCAATCACGCCGACAAAGTGCTAAAATAAAAATTGGTAAAAAATGTTTTATTAGGGTAGCCCCCCTATATGTAAAGTGGGAAGTGATTTTTTTTTTAATTTCAACCCTAACGTGTGATATATTGTTGGAAAGGTATTTAAAAATGAATAGGGGTTTACTAAAATCATTTTTTGATAATATTAATAATTTCGGAAATAATCGCTCCAAAAGTAAAAAACAATGTGTCCCCCCCCCTCTAACTTTTGAACCATAAGTTTAGAAAATATGAAAAAAATCTGGAAAGTAGAACTTTATAAGGACTTTCTAGGAAAATTATTTTGAACTTGGATGGAAAGAACAGTTTTTGTACAAACTCATAATTGGGAACACTTACTGTGACGGACGGGAAACTACGGAACCCTACACTGAGCGTGGCCCGACACGCTCTTGGCCGCTTTTTATTCTAAAGTAACATACTACATTAATATTGATCACCGTTATTATATAGTTTATATTAAGATTATTAACAAAAAGAAGCATGTTTATACGAATATTACACATTGAATTAAAGTTTTGTGGGTGTCATGGCGTTTGAATGTAACTATTTTAAGCATCCAATTTATCAAAAGTTCGAACTTCAAACATCTCAATCGAGATGAGATGACCATAGCTGATGAAAAGTTTTCTTAATTATATCGGGTGTTAAAAATAAGTAAGACTCAAGAATGTGTCCAGTAGTTTTATTTAAAGCCTGTTTACTCTCAATCGATAAAAATAAAAATGGTATAGATTTTGAAAATTAGTAATAACAACTGAATCTTAAGTTTGTTAATACACACATTTTAAATCGACGAAGAGAAAAACTTAAAATAGTAATTGACCACCTATAAAATATGAAACAATTTTCCAAAATATAGTTACATATGATATAGGTATATATAATATGGGTACACAGTTTAATTTAATTAGGTTGCAACATTGACATATCTTCGGCGCTTCTGTAGCGCAAGCTGTGTTCCCGCGGCCATTGAGTAGCTGTAAAATAAAATATAACTTTGTATAAAATAATATTATGGAAACTGGTGAAGCACAATAATAGACGATAAAAATACCGATGCAAATATATTGCTACTTATTTATACAGTTTTAATATTATTACATTACAAACATTATACTATAATATTAAATCAATAAGGAAATAACAAAAGAAATTTTAAAAAAATATTTATTAAAAATTATCATTGGTTACAGTCTTTTGAAAATTGAGTTCGAGAAGTTAGTTTAAAATCAATTAATAAATTTGACTCCGAACAGGCATACACGAAACAGAGTTGATAAAAACGGGGTAATATTTAAATTTGTTGGATATTTTCGTGCTCTCATATTTTTACTTTCCCGAACATTTTTATTTCTCTTCCAAATCTTCTAAATCAGCTCATAAAAGTATACAACTTTTGAAGAAATCTTAAAATTTTAAATGAAATTACTTAATTAAAAACAAATCATTATATAGCAAACGTTGTAGGAGGGCAGACAAAATAAACAACAATGCAACACACAATAAACTATTAGACCTATTAAATATTACTTATTTTTAATCCCTCTCAATAATTTTTGTAACGAAGATATACAATTTACAGACATAAAAGTGTGACGTAAAAGTTTACAATTTTTACACATTTTCAATAGATTTTTGAAAATTTGTAAAAATTTTAAAGCACTTTTACAATGTTCAACCTTAAGATTTAAAAATAAATTAATGACTTTAAGTAACAATTGTTTCAAACTACAAAACATCACATATTACACTTTTTATTAAACTATGTCTACAAATCTAAACTAGAAGGTATAATGATAAAAGCGAAATAAAATTGTATGGAATTCAAAAATTATATTATTAGAGATAGATAGACAGATCCTAAAACTGATGAAGCGAAAAGTTATAACCATAACTTTAGTAAATTGCTAGTTTAGTTTCCGGGGCTAATAAAATAATTGAATGAAGTGCATGCGAAAGTGCATGCAAGCGTACATGCACAACTAGTGTCTTGTGTCACTCCCATACATAAATTTATGTAGTCCTCCTTTTCATAAACTTATGTAGGTATAAGATCGCTCACATCATTATGGGAGCTGTTAAAAATAGCTTTATCACGAAAATATTTGTAAACCTCACACCTACAAAGGTTCATCTTCTTGACACGTTCTTATATACACATATTTCTTTACCAGCCAGAAACGCACATATGCATTATGTATCAAAGCCAGGTTGTTGGTTGCAAATTATTTAAAATTAGCTTTTTACCTACCGCTTCGCTGGCGTAGGTTTCAATTTACGAGTAGGAACATCATAACTACTTGGTTCAAAAATTAACAAACTAGATCACTTGTGGGGTCACCTAGGTTTCTGTGTCTCTATGTCTGTCTATCACGGGAATTTTCTCAAAAACTATTTGACGTAGATTATTTAAATTTAGCAAAGTTATAATATGCTACAGGAATACAGATTTTCAATTGCAATAATATGCCACATTGAGTTATGCGTAATTAGAATTTAACACCCACGACAAATTAAACGAAGTAACACAAACTAAATTCCTAGGAGTAATAATCGATCAAGATTTAAGCTGGAGAGGTCACATACATCAAATATGCAGTAGAATTAACCAATTTGTTTATGCACTTAATAAAGTAAAAAATGTTCAGACAAAAAAATTGATGTTCTAACGTATGACGCTTACATAGAATCTAACTACGTTATGGTGTTGTAATATGGGGCAATGGTACAGATAAACAGAGATTATTTACTGCACAAAAGAAATGCATTAGAGCTATTGCTGGAATCGCACCGGATAAATCCTGCAAACCAATATTTAGGAGCCTAGGTTTGTTGCCACTACCATTTCTGTATATCTACGAAGTTTGTAATTTCGTACATAAACATAATAATCTGTTTACAAAGGCATGTGATATGAATATAAGACTAAAAAGAAATGCAAATAGACTTGTATTAGATGATGTACCGCGATCAAAAAAATATAGTAAAAGCTGTTTAACCATGTGTATTCGAATCTATAATAAAATACCAAATGAAATCAAATCGAATAATAATAATTTATTTAAAAAAATTATTGACTTATCTCAATGAAAATCAATTTTATGACATCAGAGACCTATTTTATAAATGTAAATGATATATATTTTTTTAATGAATTGATAATCTTTGTTTATTTATGGTTTTATATGTTTTAGTCTAATTGTTTTGTACTATGATTAGAAAATTTCATTTGTATATGTGCTATTTATGTAAATTTGCATGCTATCACAATCACATAGCAAACATGTTGTGCTTTAAGAATTGTACCATCCTTATCTGTCCATGTTTTATGCAAATATATGAAATAAATAAATAACGGCTTTAAACGAGTATGGATCTGACGTATTCTTACCGTCACCGTTACAGCATATTAAAGTCCGCCGCTAAAAATCGACCTCCCCCATAAACTACCTCATATTTGCGACAGTTGCCACGCTTGGCAAGCGGGTTGGCACCGCGGCTTTTTTATTTTTAGTCATTAGGAAGACGCTGCCCATCTTTCGATTTGTTTCCCTCTGTCGCCTCTTACGACACCCACGGGATGATATGTACTAGTGAACATTCTTACACCGCCACTACACGGATAATAAAGCATTCTTAACTACAGTATCAGAATGTTGAACATCCACCAATGGATGTTGAAAATAACAATACTGTGGTTTCAAAGTAAAGTACTCGAAATACCGGGCTTTTAAAGTAAGTTTTAATTTGATATAAGTAAAGGCTTTCACTTCACAAATGCAGTCACAGTTCGTGAATTCGCCTTTAGTTCTATAAAATTCAGTCAAATACTTTAGACTAGAATTTATGCAGCTATAAAAAAGAATTAACCCGACTTTTCTACAGATTTAAATGAATAGATGCACATGTGTACGTAATTCCGTGTTCTTACAATAAGTTGAGAATGATTTTGGCTTGGTTTTTGCGTCACTAGAAATATAAGCAGAGCTCCATCGTTCTTTTTTATTTGATCTGATTTGCATAAAAATTCATCATTCATAATTCTAAAAATTTCCCTTTAATACATTTTATTTTTTGCGGGGATTTTGTAGGTATACCGTCTTGCTAATTTAGAAATGGAATGGTAAAACAACGTACAAAATATGACATGCATGATATGTGTGCTCTATTTATTTAAAAAAAAATTAGCTCAAGCAAGATGCTAGCTAATCTAATAAAGGCAAAATTGTGCTTGAAACTATACCTATTTCTTGTGACATTTCTTTGTAACATTCTTTCGATTACATGCAAGACTTTTTTTCGAGCGTTTCTTGCGAGAAAAACGTGCTGAAAATACATCGATTCATTAAATTCATTACAATTATGATAAACGTTTAGAATTTTAGCCTTCATCATAATATTCAACACTTCAAAGTCAATTTTTGCTTTAGATTATAGTTCATACAATCGGAGGGATAGATGAATAAATTCTACAAGTTAAATTGGATGTCCTTTATTTAGAGTTAATAAAAAGCAAACAGTTTTGGGCTACCACATCAAAATTATCAATGTGAAAGCTAGAATTCTATAGTAGATATTCGTAATTTAATACTATATGCTTTCTTTTTTTTTTGGTAGAAAAACTTTAAGGTCTATGTACTTACACCTATAACATACACATGCAGTTAGTTAAATAATTTGATGTGCAAATAAATTTAATTTATTAAATTAGGTTTACCGGTGTAATGCATGTTGCGGTACATATCGGGACAGTTGCTTGACACCTGCGGAATAGAAAAATAACACTGTATATATTTTCAAGTCTTTAACGCCGTTCGAAAGCATCAAGCCTAATTTAAAAAATGTCATGTCTTAATTTGTGATTTTGTATAAAATAAATGTAAAATAATTATAGCTGAAGTTCAATTTCAAGATTCGCGACTAGTAGAGCTTTTTACCACTAAGGGCCAAATTTTTTTACCTAAGTCTTATTCAAGGAATAAAATCGCAAATAACTCTAGAGTTGAGAACTTTTTGTTTTACTAAATCTTTAACCAGGTACCTATCCTAGAGTAAGTCGGTATGCCAAGAAAATTCATGGAGTATTCCAGTTTCGGGGTTATTTTAATGGCGGCAGTTATACTATAACTGCTGTTTTTGTATGCTTTGTTAAAAAGTAGGATATTTTATATTTTGCATTTTTAACTTTTCTGATAATTGTAGGATTTTTTTTAATAAAACAACGTTTACAAAATATGATCAAAGTTGCTGACAGAGATCAAGAATACATTCCAAGGTGTAGCACTGCCTGTTTTTTATGTTCTATGAGACGAAAATGTTTCTCCACGTGTTTTCCACATGAAAGTTTTACTCAGAATATAACTACTTTGGGCTACGTTTCCTTCTTTCTTCAGACATTTCATTTATTTACAATTACCTTACTCCCCTGGTGTTGCAGTTGTTCATGAGCAGTGGTAGTCACTGACCATCAAGTGAGCATTATGCGCGTTTGCCCCCTCTCCTATAAAAAATACCATAACATGCAACACTACAACTTGAAATGGATAACTTTACTCAACTTACGACTCGTGTGAATATTTCAATATTTATTAACATCATCAGGCAAAATTTTTGCACATGAAATCTTTCATTGCGCTTTATAAACAATTGTATTTCACTTTTAGTTGTTCATACATTATTATTCTTTCACCAACTTAAGAGTAACAATACCCAGTACTGGCTACTTTACGTTTAAAAAAACGAAAAAGAAGTTATCTGGGAGTAAGACCATAGAGTAAAATAATTGGAGGATTAGTTATTATAGTATAACATGGTATTTGGTCGAACCCACCACAAGTGCCTGGGTGACTCGCGAACTGTGGAATTTGTGCTAAGTTTTTTGCGGCTTTTTCTCTCTGAATGTGTGATAAATTTGAAATATTACAACTAGCTACATACGAAATCCACAAGCATTAGACATATTATATTGGTACAGAGCGCAGACTCTTCCCTTCCCTGGCCAAAAAATCTCTCAGTGATGAGAGGATCAAGCCCAACTGTAGGACAAATATGGGCTATTAATTTATTTTTACTTCGTAATATTTTAATTAAAGTAGTAATGATATTTGTAAATTCATCCGGACAACATTACTCAAAATGAAAGTAAAATAATATTTTAGGCCAGTCATTATTTGTCATAGTAAACTGTCTTCCCTAAACCGCAGTGCTCTGTTCGCATTAATTTGGGTAATCGAGGCACAGCAAGTAAATTATATTTAACTCCTTGTCTTGTACAAGCCTAGTTTAGAGTCTAGATCCGGCAGCGATTTATTGTCAGTAGTTCGATGCAGTTAGTCCCTAGAAGCACTAGGACGTGTAGTTTAATCCTATTGAAGCAGCTGTACCAAGTGGTCATTTTGTATTACTACTTTAATAGTAATTGAAAATTTAATAACGCAGTAATATGAATAACTTTTATTTTTTTACCATACTATCAAACCCGTGTAAGTAAAATTTTTAAAATTATCTAAAAAAAATACATAAAATTCAAAAGTAAAAGAAGTAAAACAGACAAAAGCAAAAGAAAATACTCAATACTCCAACTAATCTTATGCTAAATGTGTTTTAAAACAATACTTAAATGGCGAATTCTAATTTATGACTTTTTAGTTTTACAGGCCATATCCTTCCTTAGCCATTGAGATATCTGTCGGATTTATTTATTTATTTATTTAGGTACACAAAACTGAATAACACCAAAACATGAACAATTGAAAATAATAAATACAAAGTTACAATCTGGATGGTATTCCAAAACATGTGCACACAACATGATATTAAGTAACGGTAACGATTATACAGCACAAATAATTAAAACCTTACTTATAAACATACTATATTTATGAACTTATGTTGTGGAAAATTTTGAAAAATTAAATCTTTATTAAAATAATGTTCATTAACCTACATATTTAAATTTAAATTTAAATTTTAAGCCTTGAATGCCTTATTTACAAAATATATCTAATACAGATTTTTTGAAATTGTTTAATTTGTTATTAAAAATATCTATATTTTTACTATTATTAATCAATAAGTCATTATATATTACGTTAATGTTATAATTATACGTTTACTTTCCACAAAAATGATAAGTTAATAAATACAAATTCATGAAAAAATAACGAATTATATATATTATTAGCGTTAACTCTAGGGACAGACATTTTTATTGTATAATAGTATTGAAAGAATTGAAAAATCAGAGGATTTTTGTTATTTTTATTCATTTTAATTTTCGCTGTTATTTGTGTATTAGATTATACAACCTATTCAATGTCAAAGTAAAAGTTAATTGAAAACTGATTCTATGATTGGATTGTTGTTATTTTTATTCATTTTAATTTTCGCTGTTATTTGTGTATTAAATTATACAACCTAATCAATGTCAAAGTAAAAGTTAATTGAAAACTGATTCTATGATTGAATTGTTGTTGTTTTTATTCATTTTAATTTTCGCTGTTATTTGTGTATTAGTTTATATAACCTAATCAATGTCAAAGTAAAACTTAATTGAAAACTGATTCTATGATATTTTTGATCAGAGTATAAACTAAAATTAGTACTAACCGGAACTCCCTGTCTATTGAAATTAATATTGGTCCTGACGGTACGGTGATGCAGTGGCTGCACTGGCCTCGCATTATTACCCAAAGGAGCCTTGGGAGATATTTGCGAGCCTTGCATTAGCCGGCGAATTGCGTACATCTGTTAGAAATTAATTACAAAGTTATTTTTGTACTACTATTATTCTATTAAGAAACAAAAACAAAACAATTTTTTTTTTCATTTTAATATTTAATAATTACACACTAGGTATTGACTACTATAATTGGTAAAGTTTTTAATATAAAAATGTAATTAAGAAATATTTAAAACACAAGTCTATTTGCAAAGATTAAATTGTGAAAAAAAGCTAGTGTTGTATTTGTGTAATATTATTGCAAAAATGTTTGTACATTTAATTACCTCTTGCTTTGAGATGTAAATAGGTTTGTTAAAAATAATCCATACAGCAGTCTCCCAACACCCAGGATGCGTGGTTGAGCCTTCGTATGTTAGATATTGTTGAGTATCAGGTAGCAGAGAACTCAGTGGTAAATGATTTATGGGGAAGGAGCTTCCTAAGGACGAAATTAATAAGACTTTTAATATTTTTTATGTGGGATAAAACATATGTGTTGTTAGCCAACTATAAACTGTCTAAAAACAATACACATCTCCTTACAAATGGTTTGCTTCTTCGTCTAATATGGACGAAGCGTATAAAAATAGAGTTTAATAATTTGTCTAAAGTGAATAAGCTTTTGTTAATATATATATATATATATATATATATATATATATATATATATATATATATATATATATATATATATATATATATTATTTAACCGAATATGGTTACATTACCGATTAACAGCAAGTAGGATAGCTTTGGGTTAATATTTCCAATATGGACCATCGATTTCAAAGCCCATATTTTTTTTTGTAGATAGTACTCACTAAAAGAAAGCGTTTTGCAAAGTTTTAGGTTGCGGAAACTTACGGTACATGAGATATATTTTTTTAAACTTTTCATACAAATTGGTAAATAACACGCAATTACAAAATAAATTTGACGAATGATTGATGTTAAACGTCAGTTAGTGTAGGGTTCCGAATATATGGGCTTTGAAATCGATGGTCCATATTGGAAATATTAGCCTAGCTTTGGCTTATAATAGATATATAATATAAATCGTCATATAAAATATAAAGAAAAAATATAGTTAATACATCTTGTTCATACCTCTAAATCGTACGTTGCTAAAGGCGCTAGTTATCAATCTCAAATCTTTATTTATCGGTTCACCAATCTGAATCAGAGACACATTAAAGTTTTAACATAACGAACACACAATACATATTCCTTTTTATATTGTAATTGTGAAAAATATATATACTTACTTGAACCATAAGGGAAATTCCAACAATACCTTGAGATTTATGTTGTGCTTCGGACATATTATGGTATAGTTCCTTATTGAAACCGTAAAGTTGAATCTGATGACAGAAATAAAAAAAATATACATAAAACTTAATAATGATGTTCTCATCTCAGCTGTTGTCAAATACGCAAGAAATAAATATTGTCATGAAAATTAGTATGAAAAATGAAACAACCGCTGTGGTTAGTTATTGCAACCCATGAAATCCTGCAATAATTTCAAACTAAGAAGTTGCGTTGCCCCGTCAAAGCTAAAATGCCTCCTAGTCTACTATTATACCGGCTTTCTCACTCTTCGAACCGGCACGCAGCAGTGGATGTAATACTTCTTGGCAACAAAGCTACGAGATAGCTTTGGCGCTGATCCCCGTCGCCAGTATGGGCATACAAGACTTCTATCTTACTATCTATTGAAGATCAGTTTTTGTGGCTGTTTCATTTATAATATTATCCGTTCATGAACAAGAATATAAACCAAGTATAGTTCTTCGAGTGTACTTTAAACATATTAAAATACAATTGTAGCTGGTTAATATCCAGCTCGAAGGACCACTAAACCAAATGTATAAACAAAATGTAGTTTGAAACTTTGATTCATTTTAATTATTTAATTTACAGCATAAAAACGTCGCTACAGCACAAGAAAAAAAGGAAAGTGACGTTGCCTAAAAAGACAGAAAAGTTGTCTTTTAAGTTGCTTAGTTAATTGATACCACAAACAAACAGTGTGTGTTTTTTGAACACCCACGAGTCTAAGAATATTGATATTATTTCCTTACATCGCCACAACACTTATTTATATTTCTTTATAAAACTAAATGAGAAACAAATTTAACAAAACGTTGAACAGTTTTCGACAAAATAATATGTTTAAACAAAACAGTTTAAAATTAACCAATACAATAGCAATAAAATGAAAAAGCGATGTAATTGCTGTAAGCTTTGGCTTGTATAGGTTTTAACGCTAATAACATTGAACAATCGTATCCAAACTGGCGGAAGAGGTTGAAATAGCTGAAGTTTGGAAGTTTATTTCTCGAGAGACTAATAACGACTTCTCCGATAATGATGCGAACTTTGAGGTGTTAATTTGTAATGAAGGCGATTGTGGGGAAGTTCATTGGTGGGACTGCAGTAGTGTTATAAAAATAAAATACCATTTATTAGTTTCTGCTTAAGTTAACGAGATTGATTATTTTGTATACCTACTTTATGTTAATATTGTAATAATCTTTCGTATAATAAAATTTAACGAATACAACAAAGGTATAATCTGTCTAAAAATTAATGACCTCATAATATTTTTGCTGATCTTTTCCTTTAGAGATCGCTTTAGGAACCAGTGGTAGATTTTAATTAACTTAAAACCATTTAATATGCTTTAAATAAATATATGTAGTATATATGTGTTTTTATATATATATATATATATATATATATATATATATATATATATATATATATATATATATATATATATATATATATGTGTTTTTATATTGTGTTTTTTCACTTTGTTTTTAAAGACGCATACAAAAGTTTAAATTATAGTATTCTTTTAAATAAAATATGTGGCTGTATAAAATATGTGTGTAATTAACATTACTTATACTCCCGTTTACCACTGTAACTAACCTTAAAATGCTTGTGTTGGGATTTACAAATTTTGAGTGCAAAACAATTTCATTTAAAGTATGAAAGGATTTAAAATTGTTACACGGATTGTTTTTAAAGACCAAGGGTAACAAACGAACACACAGTCCACCTGATGGTAAGTGGATGCTTTGGCACATAGACATCTTCATCTATTCTCGATTAAGAATTAAAATGCAAATGCGTTGTTACCCCTGAGGACTAAATTAGAATATCTTGTCTTCAGCAAAAAGGGTATCCGGTTCTTTACAACTACCATGCGAAACATCAACACTAAGCTGGTACACACGCTGGTATTAAGTGAGAGCGTAGTCCTTACCAGATCGAGCTGACTCATTCATGTTACAACCATGATGTAGCTGCAGCATGACTCTACTACGTTAATACAGGGGTTATTTACACATACTCGTAATAAGTATATATCTTTAAACTTTAAAAATAATATAATCATTTCGACATTATAGCTTATGATATTAGTGCTAAGATAGTGTACCGAAGAATCAAAGCCCCGAATTTATTATTATTTTATGTTACCCCTTTTAGTGGACTAAGGACTATAGCACAAGTTCAAAATAGTACTTATGTTGCCTAAAAGGTAACATTAAATACTGCATTCCGTATTTTTCACCTTGTTTTTCTTCTCTAAGAATCGTCACACATTTTTGAAGTACAACCTGTTCATTATAGGAAGCATCATTAAAATCAGTTTCAGCTGTTTCTTTCCGACCTGATCATTAAATTGGTGAACATACGAGTATATATAAAAAACAGTACCCGGATGACCGAGCTTTGCTCGTTTTTTTTTTTGAAATTACATTTATAAATTACATACTGATGAAACTTAAATAATATTTTTTGATCTTATTGACAGAATAGAAAAACTGAACTGATTATTTGAATAAAAAATCATGAGTGCAATTAGTTTTATTAAAATTTTCGTATTTTTAAAAATTACTAAAAAAAGGGAGTGAAATAATATATTTTCTCATAAAAGAAGGGAACAGGACGCGAACATCGGAACTCCGATATCACGCCCGACCGACATCCCACCTGAGCTATAACTATCTGTCGAAATTTGCCTTGTTGGTAAGGACATTGTCTAAAAATAAATCCTAGCTAGATCGATTTATTGCCCCTTATTATATATAGAAAATCGTTGGAGCTGTTTCCGAGTTTCCGATTATATATATATATATATATATATATATATATATATATATATATATATATATATATATATATATATATATATTAAATACAAGAATTGCTCTTTTAAAGGTATAGGATACGTATCAAAAGTAACGTCGCGTTTTTGGAATTTGTTTAAAAGGAGCATGAGACATATTTTCTACAACGTATACTCGAAAATAGCATAAAATGAATAAAACCGCTATATAAAAGTGTTGAATGAATAATAAATTTAAAATACATTGTAAATGGAAGATTTTATCAGTGATAAGTGCGGGTTGCCTTGGAACGAGGGCGCATAGTTAACGGGAGCGGCCAGACTATCTGCATTGTTGAGATTATTGTGGTAACGTGAAATGAATAGTTGGTAATGCTTTGAAATAAGAATCTTTTATGTATTAAATATTATTATTAGCATTTAATTTAAGTATAATTTTGTAGTGATGGTATTTGCAAGTTATTTTCATGAGAACACATTTCAGGCGTAACACGATTTTCTAAGCCTATCGTTTAAAAGACTCAATTGCCACAGAAAAGTGAAGGGTGATGAAAACTTTTGCACCACCTTTAAACACGTTTTAATGAGCAAATAAATAATAAAGGAAAAGTAAAGGTTATTGTAACAATTCTTAGAAAAAAAAGGATCTCAATATTGGCTGAATTACTACTAATTGAATATTTATAGTGGTGTAGTGGCGTAATAAAATTTACTACGCTGTATCATCACCTTGGTGTCATGAAAGGCGATAGAGAAAAACTGAAACAGAAGATAGGCAGTAGCAAATTTCTGGTAACTACTCAAAATAATAACAAATGTGGTTACAAACTAGCCTGCCAAGTGTGACAGCTATAGCAAAATACTCCCTGTGAGGCAATGGAGTAGTTCTTTGTTCAGAAGTGGACTTTGATAGACTATGATGACGGTGACGATAAAATACCGTATGGTTTATAACTACCCTTTAGAATTGTATTCAAATATGTATAATTTCGCATTATTATTATTGTAAGAATTTGTAAGCAAGTAAAAAAGTAAAAAAGTAACAAGCAACTATATAATATCACGCTATTACCCTTGGCTGTCTTTTCAAAACTATTCTTGATTAGTCAACTAGATAAATACTGAAAATCTAAAGATAGTTAAAATATTTTGTAATATGTCTATTACGTATTTACTTTTTCTATTTACTAAGGCCTATTTTTTGTATTTTATAAATTTTTTTATACGTGGTAGAGCCACGCTGCAGCTATATCGTAGTTTTAGCACGTATAGGTCGGCTCGACCGGGGAGGGACCACGCTTTCACAGAATACCAGCGTAAAATAGCAGCTTAATGCTGCTATGTTTCGTGTGGTGATTGTAGAGATCCGGATACCCTTTTTTACTGTAAACGAGGCATTCCATCTTAGTCCTCAGGGGTGACAACGCATCTGCGTTTTAATTCTTCTTTTTCTTAAAGTGCCATCTTATTTCGAAAGTCGGCAAACATTAAGGTAACTCGAATCTTTGATGCCACGGCTCTGAATAAGTAACGGCTGTTCTTTCCAAACCATTGACGTAGGTTTTTTAATTCTTAATCGAGGATAAATGTAGATGTCTATGGGCTACAGCATCCACTTAACATCTGACTGTGTGCTTGTTTGCCACCTTTATCCGGTCCCTTATTCTATAAAAAATCTATATCAGTATGTTTTGATTCCGTCAAAATTTGGGCAGTGCTACAGTCCCTTCAGCGGTACCAAGTTGACTGTCGGTATATCGAACTGCGGAAGTGTTTGAACAGTAAGGCTACGATGGCTATCCGAGTAAAGAACATGAGTACGAAACCCATCCAATTGCAGAGAGGTGTAAGACAGGGTGACATAATATCTTCGAAACTCTTAACCGCTGCATTGGAAGACGTTTTCAAGCCTTTTATTCCGTCCAAATTTTGGCGATGCTACAGTCCCTACAGCGGTGCCAAGTTTATTGTCGGTATATCGAAGTGCTGAAGTGTTTGTACATTAGAAATACGATGGCTATCCAGAGTACAGAATCAGAGTATGAAACCTATCCAACTGCAAAAAGGTGAAGACAGGGTGATGTAAAGTCCCCGAAACTCTTCACGGCATCATTGGAAGACTTTTTCAAGCTACTGAAATGGAAAGGATATGGTATTAACATCAACCGTAAGTACATTAGTCACCTTCGATTTGCCGACGATATAGTCCCTATAGAAGAATCGCTGGAGGACCTAAGCACTATGCTCAATGACTTCAATAGTGTCTCTCAATGGATAGATCTTAAGATGAACACGGGAAAAACAAAATTTGTGTGTAACGTCCATGTCAAACCTGTGCCGGTAATTGTTGGCAGCACTAAGCTCGAAGTTGTTGATAAGTATTTTTACCTAGTACAAATAGACTGACTAGCTAAATCCAACTTCGACCGAGAGTCAATCAACTTTTTCAATTGGGCTGGGCATCATGCGCTAGTCCTTCACTGCTGGCCGTATGAGGAAGCTCGAGGTTGCTCGGTGAGTTACGAAGATGGAAATGATTGGAGTTTCTCTGCGTAATGGACTTCAAAACAAGGATGTCAGCAGTAGAACCAAAGTAACCGACATAACAATTAGTAAGCTGAAGTAGGCCAGCCATATAGCTCGAATAACCGACAACCGACAGCAGCGGACTTTTGAAGCACTGTAACGAATGAGTGATGATGATATTAATAAAGTATTGTAACTTGAACTTGAAGATCTCCTTCTTAGTCTGGTTCTTTATTATCTGCTTTATACGAGATCGTTAAACCAACATGCTACCAGGCACCAATAATGGATTCTCCAATGCTGCCTACATATAATATAAAAACAAATTTATTCTTAACGCCAATTATATTACATACAATTGTTACAATAGTTGCAAAGTAATTACTCGTAATCGCTTATGAATTATTTCTCGGTTTTTTTTTTAATGAAAGTAGTAAACTTTTACAGCGATCCTACATTAATTTCAAGTTTAAATTAAGTATTTAGTAAGGAAAATATTGACATATTATATTTAAATGTACAAACCTCTCCAGGAAACGTGTGATGGTCGATCTGATGCTCTGATCCTCGATGATCCTCAAGTCCGTAGTGGAAGTAAATCTCCTCGAACTGATACCGATACGAAAGTGGTCCGCCGCTGATGTTCACTTGGTGTTTCGAATCCTTGTCAACCCGAAATACTAGAGATTGGCCCGTGTTTTGTAGAATTCCGCTCACCTATGCACAAAGTAAATAAATCATTTTCAATTATTTTATTATTTCTAAGTAATACCATGCAGTAGAATTCCTCTGTTCGACGCGATGTAGGGAGGATTTCCCTTAACAGTCTTGGCAGGAGAATTGATGAGCGCAGTATGAGACATTTCGCACCTTTGAAACTGCTACCGATCTGGGTATTTTGCGTATGGATATACCGCCATCTATCGGGGGACATTAGAATTTTCTAGCATTCGTAAGCGGTAACTGTTATATTTTTAAGACACCTACAAAATTCAATGTCATATTTAAATATTTAGGCGTCATCCTTGATGCAAAGTTCACTTTCGAGCCCCATATCAAGAAGGTAACTCGCACCACACGATTTTACATGGGTAGGCTCAACAGCATGTTGGGCAGACACAGTAAAATGTCTCTCCGCAGCAAGCGCACCCTATATAAGGTCTGCATACGACCTGTGATGACCTACGCGGCCCGCATTTTCGCACATGTTAAGCCCAAAGTTATAAATGAACTTGAAATAGTTCAAAATCTATTCTGTCGTAGGGCCACTAACTCGCCCTATTATGTCCGTAATGCCGACTTACACCGACTTACGACGACCGACAGAGTTAGAGCTCCCAACAATCCAGCAGTTCCTTAAATCACTTTTTGAGAGATTTTTCAAAGCCTCAGAGTCCCACCCAAATATTCTCATTCGTGAGACAGCTGCCTATGCAGCCCCTATCCACACTCGCTATAGTGTGCGCAGACCGAGAAACTCTCTCTCGGACCCCCCCCCAACAAGCTTTCGGCTGACCTGAACTGCCTCCTGGTAGCTCCCAGCCGAGCCTACATAACACATCCCTTAATCTGCCTTAGTTAGGCACACTTCTAAGCGGCTTTTCGCCGCTTGCGCCCTCCTTTCTGCCAAGGAGGGTCGCGTTCGTATACGGCTTAGAGATCTCTAGTTAGAACGTTAAGCCAGTACCTATAAGGCGGTGTTTAGTGGGTAAAAGTCTCCACATAACCACGCAGCCGGCTGCGTGGTATGCTATGAGCATTCACCGCCTCCCTCCCCCGCTTTCCGGAGGGTTGCCCATATTTGCTTCGGGCGCAAAAAAAATTTAAGACACCTACAAAATTCTATGTCATATTAAAATCCTCCATCAAATAATCATTCTGTCACACTTATTTATTTATCATGTTATATTAAAATCGATCGTCTTTACTTTTATACAGAATATATACGTATTATATTATAGGAAAAAGGGTAGTTGTAGAAAACCATTACGTTACAAAGAAAAACGTAGTCAAAGGCATGAAATTGTTTTTATTACGCCGTTATAACGATCCTTATGGAATAGACATTTTTTCCTCTTCACCTTCGTTCCTGAAATAGACATTTTAATCACAGGGGGGTGTACAAGAGCTTAATGTTTGTTTTTTTTTTTTTGAGAGTTCTGGATATTAAAGTAAATTTTTCTTCCTATCCTTTTTTACATTAAATAGCGAGTTTTCTTTTCTAGTGGCTAGAACTACTTACTAGGAGTCATTTTAAGTTGACGGGAATTGGAAATGAATGTCAATCATAGAAAGAGAAACTACACTCTTTTATCATGTGTTTCTCGTTAGAGGCGACCATAATAAAGACTTGAAGGATCCCAAAAGATGTTGTCAATAGTACCTTTACGTCAGATATAAAGTATATAAACTACGAGTACCAGCGGCAAAGCGTAGCGATTTAGGCAAGCCTTCTTTACAATGGGAGTGCCTGTACCATTTCCAGCTGTTCAGATTTACGGGCAGATGAAAAAGAAAAGATAAGGATAATAGGTATAGGCTTTGTGGCATTACTTGGGGGAGGCCTATGTTCAGCAGTGGACTTGTGAAGGGCTGTGATGATGATGATGATGATGAATAGGTATAGATACCATAAACAAACCCAATACACCTCTTCAAAAGTTGAATTATTATTAGCATACATTCTGAAGTTCGTGTTCCATTTCAATGGTTTTTTCTTGTTGTTTACATCAATTTAAATTGATTAAGGCGTGTTATATCGAAATCGGGGTGTGAAACGAGTAGTTTCCCCGCGGGGTGGCGATCCTATCAATCAATGGTCCCACCTTGATTAGAGACTTGGCGCGCTTTGAGTGGAGATGACATATTATGCGCTGACACGCAACTGTGGAACAAGAACTTGCTTTGATAGTTTGGAAACTTTACGAATTAATACGGCATACTTGTAGACAAATAACAATATATGTATATTTAAGTTTGTTGTGTAAGTGTTAATTTATTTGTTAAATCTCAACTGTTTATATTAATTAATTAAGTAAAATATCGTTATTCTGTGGGTATCGTTAGACTAAAAGAAGACAGGTAAACTGTACTATACCAAGATGATACTATGACAAATTGGTGTTAAGTAAGTTGTGTAAAGAATATCCAATATCCCATCGTCCCGTGGGCATCGTAAGAGGTGATAGAAGGATATTGAAAGAGGTGATGGGCAGAAGCATCTACCTGATAGCAACTCAATTAATAAAAAACTGCGGTTGACAACCCGCTCGCCAAGCGTATCAACTATGGCGAAATTTTCCCTATGAGGTAATTTATTGGGAAGGACTCTGTTCAGCAGTGGACTTTTATAGGCTGTAATAGACAGATGCATTGACACGCACGCGAAGTTTACTGAAAAATAATGTTTATATTTATACTTTTTTATGCGTTGCTATACCATTAAATCATACATTTGCAGGCATATTGGCGAGGTGTTGTCTGCGCTTCTGCGAATATTTTTGTCTAAATAGGTATTGCTACTGCTACACAAACACACACACACACACACACACACACACACACACACACACACACACCCATTCATCACTTTTAAACTTACTAGGAGTACCTATCTACTATATTGTTTCTATATGTGATTTAAAAAAATAAAGTATTTATTTTGGATGTTTGGCCCTTATAAATTGTACGGGCGATTTTCCTACATTATGGAGAGGGGGGGGAAGGGATAAGTGGTGAGGTTATAGGATAGGTATATGTTTGTCACTTGGCTATTAGTAGGTTATTATTATTACTGCTACACATGTCGGGCACTGCTATTATCTAATAAAAAGGTGTATACTCAATGTTTGTACACTAGGTATGAATATTACTATTAACTTTACTTACTTTCAAATAAAACCCTTATCTGAAACGGACAAGACGTTAAATATAACACGGTGAATTAGACATAGGTAATGTAATTAGAATTGCAAAGGGCGTAAAATGTCGCATAAGGTAGCAAAAACGAAAGCGCCCTCGTTCCTGACAGCGGAAGACTAACAACGTACGAGTATGTTGCAAAAACGTTCTGATAGTCGACGCGATAGTCTATCGCATTTCGCATATATTAGCATGGTATTACGGCACTGTAATTCAGTCTAAATGAATAATTACGCACGGGTCGTACCGTTTAGAATATTTATTTTTGGTTTATATGTGTTTTAAAAGGCTATAAGCAATTTCTTTATAAATCTGAATCAGGCAACCACTAGCGCTGAACTTAAAATAGCTTTTGAATTTATGTAATAATTTATTTTATAGAATTTATTTAATTAATAAGATCAAATTTCGTTACCGAGGTAATTTACAAGGAGTAGTTTATTGAAATTCAAAAAAAAAATGAGCTTCCCTTCGATAGACTAAACCTGTCAGTGTAGCTTAATATAGTTGACTGATCAATGCGATCGCAATGCTCATAAGTACAGCTCATTACAGGTGATAAAACGATTGAAGAACATTACAATAAGCAGAGTGGCAAAGTATATACTCACAGAATTACGGCTCCGTCGCGGAGTGGCGTGGCAGTAAGATCCGGCGCTAAAGGCCACGGGTTCGAATCCCACACGGAACAAGTATTTTTATGGCCTACAAGTAATTGTTCCGGGGTTAAATTTTTGTCTCTGTGCAATATGTATATAAGCTTCCTCCACGAAACAGGAGAAAATCCTAGTGTGGGAGTAACCTTATTAAAAAAGGGAAGAAAAGTTCTAAAAGGAGATTCGCAACTTTGGTAAGTTGCGAATCTCCTTTTAGAACTTTTCTTCCCTTTTTCGGTTCTGCTCTCTTCACGTTGAGGTCGGAAACTTTTCAGACCACCCACCAGGGTGGTTGAGGTCGGAAACTTTTCAGACCACCCACCAGGGTGGTCTGAAAAGTTTCCGACCTCATGTAGCACTGGTGAATAAAAGCTAATGAATGTAGTTATGCAACTTTTGACAGTTACGCACCAAAATTTCAGCCATTTTAGACGCATATTTGTTATACAGTCATTTACGTGAGTCGATATAAGTATTTTTTTGAAAATTGAATAAATTTAACCTGTAAGCTCTGACAGCGCGCGACATGTTATACTCCCGTTCGCTCGGGACCGTAATGGCGGGAAAATTTGTAAGTTAGCAAATTTTTTGCTATATTGCAAATTTTGCTATATTTTCACTTTGAGACAATATTTATGGATAAAACTTACAGGAATTCTTGTTGAATGTATAAACTATCGAATAAAATTATTTTTGGTTACTAGAAATTGTAATAAAATACATAAATTACCCTGTATAGCATGGTAGTGGTATATACTTCAATTTTAGTGACAAAATTACTACTAATTTGAATTCTACACTTTTGTTTTTAGAGAAATTTATATGAAAATGTTTGGAAATATCTATATTTTTATGTTTTATGTGTTTTCATTCGTTACTCATACCAAAATATTAAAATATAAAAAAAAATAATAATATTTATCTGTATGACATTTCGAACAATATTTCAAAAATATTTTTGTGTGAATTTGAAATAAATACAACGTCAAGTTATTTGAAATATGTAAGAAAACTATTTTTACTTACATTTTACACTAAAAATAAATGAGAATTGGAAAAATAACACATTTATGACCCAACCGCCAAAATGGGCGTTCCGTATTTCGAAGTACTTTTGGCAATTTGCTTTTCACTTTTTATACCACAAATTATATATCTGTCAGCGCGTTGCGCGACGCAGTTTAGGCGCAATAAATCCGAGTTTTGGCACCGATTAATTACTGTAGATAAAATTTAGATACACCATTATACTCCCAAAACAAAAATATAGTGAAAAAAGTGGACCGCAAAGAGGGAACCGGCTCCAAAAAAAGAAAAAACTGTTTTTACGGCTGGGAACGTGATTGTGACTGTTTTTTGGGATAGTCAATGGAGATTTCTTAATCGATAATCTTCAAAAAATAAAAACATCATTACTTGATAAACTAAACAGAAATGGCGGAAAAACGACCACAATTACAGAAAAATAAAATCCTGTTTTACCATGACAACGCGCCGTCTCACACTTGCCATGGCGAAAATCCTCGTTTGAACTGCTTGACCATCCACCTTAGTCACCAGATCTAGCTCCTAGCGACTTATTTTTGCTCTTTTTCCCTCATCTCAAAATTGCGCTCAGAAGACAGAAATTTTAATCAAATGAGGAGGCCATCAACTTCGTGAACAATCATTTTGCAGAGAAAAACGCAGAGTACGCGGTCATCATCTTACATTACAAACTATGACATAAACATAAAATTTTATGAACCAAAAGTATGTTATGACTTTGGATAAAGTCTACCAAGAAATGAGAAATTTAAAAAAAATGTACCGTTGACTGCCAAGTGTTCAGCAAGACTATATAGTCTTCTGGTCACAAGGCAAGAACAACTCAAACCTGACTTGACTAGTGTTTCAGACTTCTTTAGAGCAAAATACTAACCCTCATCCAGTTCAGATCTATACCCATTAGACTACAAATTGCGGTTAGAACTAGAGGAAATGAACAGCTCTAAACTTAACTCATACATTTAATATCTCAAGAAATCTTTAGCTATAAATATTTCACTAAGTAGTGAAAAAATTCCCCATGCATACAGAGATCAGAGAGATAAAATGCCTGTAACACTTCGAATTTTTTTATTCAACCGCTATGTCTCCGACAAAATAATAAGTTCACATTAGCTTAATAATTATAACACTGTTTCATTAAAAATGATAATATGCATTTTTATGCGTATTTGGTTTATGTACATGTTGTAGACAAGTAAGCATGTTTTTGCAATACTTTATCAAGTGTTACCCAACTCGTCTTAGACTAAAATGAAAAAATCTTATCACTTTTTTATATCAAACACACGGATATGCTGGCAGGTTAGAAAAAAGAAATACTTATGTAGGCAGATTTGTTTGTAGCGAGACTGTCATCTCACGGTACTATCACGTCTCTTTCAGTAAGTAAAAGCGTGTATTGCAAAGCGTCGAGTCTATCACAGCTAGCTTACCATGTTTTAGCATGAGATTATGGCGGCGAGCCCACTGCAATGTTAATTTGCCCATTTTACCGGCTTACTCTGATTTTCAACGTTCTGTTAACGGGGTGCGCGTGAAATTTTAAATTTTAATTCGTTTTGCAATATATAATGCATATTTTGATATGTCTCACTGAGCTTTTGACGTACGAACTATATTTTGAATTATTAATGGAATCGTGATCAAGCTTTATTTTAATTGTACAAAATTGACTAACTAGAAACCAGTTTTTTGTAATTATAGTTTACCACGTATGCTTGATTACATACTTACCACTTGATTACATATTAAAAAAAATATTTAGGAAAAGCTTGGTAGCAATCAACTTATTCCCAGGTGTTACTATCATAATATATTATATTTCCATTGCTACTTCACGGTATTAGGTATTTTGATTAAATGTCGTACTAAGTATCAGTATACTAACTACGACATTTCTACAAAATATTACTCTTAAACAATTATCGGAGTAACATTTTGTAGAACTGATCCTATAACTCATCCGGTTGTTCTATTATTTTGCCTTTGTTTACTAAGTAGGCTTGTAGATTTGCTGGCTTTATTTAAGATTACTAATTGTAATACATATTTTGTAATGTTATCAGATTAGGTAAGTGCAATTTAGACAATCGCATCCAACTCGATTGGGGAGTGTTCAGGGAATTATGAATCATCGCATCACGCATTCCTCAAAATATTTAAATAAGAAATTACAACTTGTTGCCAGTGTTGTGATGACATAATATGAAACAAGTATGTAGCACAGTGCTATATAAGAAAGCTTAATCGATGGAGCTTTCGATCGATCTTTGGACACGTGGCCTTTTGCACTCTGAAAGGCCGCACGCTTCAAGCTACGGAGAGTATTATACTTAGAGTTTCTCTTCGTGATTGAGTCTCAAATAATCAGTAAGCTGTATGGTCGACCATATAACTCGAAGAACCGACAACTGTTTAGGAATAATGTAGAAAATGAAAATGAAATGCAAATGGAAACTCTTTAGTATTCGACGCAAGAAATTCAATTTCGGTTTTCTAATGCCAACCTGTACTTTAACCTTTCAAACACCAAGCGGCCAAATTTGACCGCTTCGATATTCTGTCAAAATTCAAGCGGTCAAATATGACCGCACCCACCCAAAGCATTTTAATCGATAAAAACTTACATTTAAAGACCACTTTTCTATGAAAAAGCTTGGAATTATAGAATCAATATGAAATTTTCTATCCTCTAGTGGAATAAATAACAGTTAGTCTATGGATATTAATTTAAATTCTACGTTCATTAAGTACGCCATTTTCATTTGGATGTTCTTGTGTTGACTTTTGGATTTTTCTGATGTTTTATTAGTGTTTTAGTATAGTGTTTTATTATAAAATTGTTAAAAAAGTTTTTTGTGCGAATATAATTTATCTTTTTACGTAAATAATTTCGAGTAATATATAGAAATAATGGTGATTTTCACTCTGCCGACATCCGTTTGGTATATTTTTTTGTTATCAAAATACAATAAAATCTTTTTGTAATAAAGTAAAACCTAACTTTTGTTTAAAACACGGGTTAAAGTATTATGTATAGATTTTATAATGGCAAACTTCTTCATAGAAAAGTAGTCTCTAAATATAAGTATTAATGGTTTTAAGTGCTGTGCGTGGGTGCGGTCGCATGCGACCGCTCGGGATTTGCCAGGCGCATGTGATTGCATGGGAATTTTATGGAGATTGAAGAGTTAATCTATGAATATTTCGGAATGAGGTTCCTCTTTTTAGAGAAGATCAGGCAAAACAAACTCCGCATGCCTCCTAATTTTTATAAATATCAAAGGCCAATATTATTTGATATACGTGGTAGAGCCATACTGCAGCTATATCTGAAATAATACTAGTTTTTACGGAATTTATCGCGTATATTTTAACTTTTTAAATACCCGACGTTTCGAACGCTTTACAGCACTCATGGTCACGGGCAGGACTGAGATGTTCAACGTCCATATGTCATAGTTAACCGCGGTTACCATAGATTAAAATTTAACTTTTGTTCCGATCTATGCAATGCAAAAGTTAAATTTTAATCTATGGTAACCGCGGTTAACTATGACATATGGACGTTGAACATCTCAGTCCTGCCCGTGACCATGAGTGCTGTAAAGCGTTCGAAAACGTCGGGTATTTAAAAAGTTAAAATATACGCGATAAATTCCGTAAAAACTAGTATTATTTCAATGTGTAGTGTTCGCGTAAATATAAGAAATCATTATGCAGCTATATTATTAGTATAGTTGTAGCACGAATGGGTCGGATCGACCGGGTAAGGACCATACTCTCACAGAATACCAGCGTAAAATAGCAGCTTAACGCTGCTGTTTTATAAGGTGAGTGTAGAGAACCGAAGACCCTTTTTACTGGAAAGGAGGCGTTCTATTTCACGAGTGACAACAAGAAATCGAGCATGGATGTAGATTTCTATGGGCCACAGCAACCACTTACCATCAGGTAGACTGTGAGCTCGTTTCTCACCCTTCTATAAAAAATGTTCAAAAAAAGGAATAAACGCGTACGTAATGAAACCATTTTCTACAATAAAATCACATAGCAAAAAAATACACAAATAGTTCTCGAATGGAGATTTGTTAGAATGCCTAAGCTGATTGTAGGTTCGTTCTTTACTAGATGGAATAACGTTCTGGTAAGATGTGCAGAAAGTTGTAGTCTCATAATCGTGTTTTGTAGCATTCCTTAGAAGAGGCCTATGTTGAGCAATGCACTTGTGATATATTATAATTATGTAATGAATGGTTATAATACCTATATTTAACATGGATTAAATATTACCTTATGTTTATCGAACTGTATATCCCTCAGCCAGGGATCAAATAGCAGCTTCTCTGGTTCGACATTGACGGGGCTTTGTCGCCTTCCCTTGTTGCACATACTCCATTGCGGATTTATTAGCCCCCAAAATCCTGGACCTACAGAATATTAAAATCATCATTAATATGCTTAAAAAAACTTACTATACATAAACCTTTCAAATAATTAACTCAGTCTTTAAAAGAGCACAGAGTGAAAGCTAAGTATCTTCTTATACCTTTTATTTAATTTAAATGTGTAAGTTTTGGATCATTGAAATCTTATTACTGAATAAGATATCTAAATTAAATGATGATTAAATTACACGAATGTGCTTATAATGTCCCGTTATACAGTATGGCGTTTGATACTCCTGTATGAGAGTTGTAATACTATTCAGGTCTATAAGACACAATGACGAATCAAAATTCATTACACATGACGTTACTCAAACATAAAGGGCTATTCAGAGTTTCGAAATAGTTCCATAATGTAACTTTGAATGGAAATTCGGGACCCCGCAAAATTCGGTCATCACAGTGCATTGGTTCGTACGTAATATCACATTAGGGTGTAATCACGTTCAGTGGTATGGTATCGAATATTAGTGTCTTGGTATACCGATAATATTTTGATTTAAATTAACTTTGTAACATGCCCGAGATAATAATTACGCAATGAATTGACAAATTAATAGGTTTCAAACGTATATACCACACATTGAACAAACCTAATCTATCGGTTATATCACGTTTAGTACAAATATTTGGTATGAAAATCTGCCGCTCTAAAAAGTCTATAGTTAGTGATATCATTTAAAATACCACGCGACGCTATTGCAACATTCCACTGTCAAACCTCAAGAATTGTAACTGTATTAGTAGTTTGCGTAGATCTGACCAAAAACTATTTCGTAAAGTCGGCGGAACCCATTGATGTTGCAATATATCGAGTCAATGCATTCGTGCTGCTATAATACAGATCTAACAATCTTAGATAAAGATATGTAGAAAACAAGTAAAATCAAATTAGGTATATCTCTTACACCACCATTATACGGCATTCAGAAGAAGTCCGGTATAATCCACTATCCTGTACCTGTCATCCCAGGAGTGTCGAAAGAGGCAACTGAGGGAAATTTAATGAGAAATGGGCTGTAGCATCTTCCTGAAATAACCACTAGATATAACAAACAACTGCATTTGCTAACCTTTAGAAAGTATCAGAAATAATTAACACAACGAATGGGTCAACTCGGTCGGGCTAGGACCACGCTCTCACAGAATACCAGCGTAAAATAGCAGCTTAATGCAGCTGTGTTTCGAATGGTTAGTGTAGAAAACCGGAGACTCTCTTTACCGGAAATGTGGCATTGCATCTTAGTTCTTAGGGGGGACAACGTATCTGTATTTTGATTTTTTAATGTAATGAGAGCGTCAGTAGCCTATTGGCAGGGCGTGGATCGCGAACTCAAAAAAAGGTCGTGGGTTCGAATCCGCCATTCGACTACTGTCGTGAACCACTCCTAACACAAGCATTTTAAGCTTAGCAGGAGTGGTTAAAGGGAATATTAGTAATGTTTTTAATAGAATTACAAGTATTTAAAAAAATGAGGATAAATTTAGGTGTCATCGCCAATCATTAAGTTTTATCCTATTAAAAAAAAAACAATGATACCCTACTTAAGCGTGTTCTAACATGCACTTGGAACTTTTTTGTATTTAAATAGACTACTAGGTATATTAAAATAATTCCCTAATGTAACAGAACTTAGAAAACCGAAAATAGATTGCTAAGTACGGTCGAATTGGTCGTAGACTGACTATTCAATGTAATGACACAAGTGAGCGCACACTATCATTAAGATACTATCTGCGGTCATTACCCGGGTGTCATTACCAGGATATGTAGCGTATAAGCGTACGTCCTAGTTTTCGAGTATAGGATAAAAAGCTTTTGAGGGTTAATTCCAACATATTTTTAATAAGATATTTACGTTCGATTTTATACTAATTATAGCAATATACAAATAGTATGTTGTAGAGCTATGATGCAGTTATATTATCATTCGAATTGGTCGGCTTGGCCGTAGAAGATCTACGCTATCACAAAATACCAGCGTAAAGTAGCAGCTTAATGCTGCTGTGTTTCGTATTGTGAGTGTAAAGAACCTAATACAGTTTTTCCTCGTAACGAGGCATTTCAAATTAGTCCTGAGGTGTGACAACGCATCTGCATTTTGATTCTTACTCAAGGATAGATGTAGATGTCTATAGGCAGCATACACTTACCATAATATGGTCTGTGTTAGTTTGTCAAGCTTTTAAAATATATTTTAATAAAGCCATCTTGACGCCTAACATTCTGATTGGACATATGGTGGACTAACCAGGTGGAGTGTATGCTTGTTTATCATCCGTATTCTGTTATAAATGCAATGTTTAAAATATAAGTGGTTATAGAGAAGAGTTTGAATTAAACTAGAGTTGAAGAGAGGGGGTGTAGATAAAATTGAAAGTGAAAAGTACTAATATGTGTTAAGAGTAGAGGAGTGGTGGCAGGTTGTTTTACTTTATTGTATTATGTAATTGTAACAAAGGGAGTGATGGTTAAGGTTATTGTCCCAATATGTATGATAAAGCAGCATGGATAAACGAACTTAGATTGGTGAAACTGCTAAAGAAAGGAAGAGTTGAAAGAAAGGAAGAAAAATTGGGAAGTGGAAGCGATTCAGAAAGAAAGGGGGGATCATTCTTTCCCTTGCGCATGATTATTTAGAGTATAAATGTGTTATGGCAAGCCAGGAAGGGAAGCCCTAGACGAAATTTTATAAAATATGCAAAATATTTAGGGGGAGGAGGGTTAATTAAGTGTACCCTTAACTAACGAGCGATGTAAAGGAGGCGAGAGAGGTGTGTCAGAATCATGCCGAATCCGTCCGTAGTCTCTGCCTACCCCTCCAGGTGACAGGTGTGAGTATTATGTTATTTTTTATATACTTCGAAGACATGTGAAGTTTAACTGTGAAGGCGATCTAATTTCTCCGTAACCCTCTCAGAAATGAGAGGAGACGTTTTTCGAGCAGGAAGACGTGTAAATACTGTAGGCTGGTGTTTTATTTAACGATTTAAGCCAGTATTGGACTACTATACACCTGATGGTCTGTGATGATACAGATAAATATATAAAAGGCATTAGCTTAACTAATATAACCTATTTACTCTTGCCCACATTGTAATCGGATCGAAATACAGATTCTTGTAAATTATTTCATTACTTTGTTGTAGATTTGACGAACAACGAAGCGAATCTTTGGCTCGAATGAGTGTAGATGGGCTACAAAGAAAGTTTTACGTTACTCATATACAAAAACTGTTTATAGGTAAAGTTATTATTATTAATTAATTTTTTAATTCTTTTCTATTACATTTAATTTTACATTCGTTCAAGCCATTTTGGAAAACAAAGACTAAGCCATGTTTTTCACGTGCTGTCAAAACTTCTTATTAAATATTTTTGGGACTTTTAATTATAAGTAATACGTGTTTTTTTTTGTAATTTTTACTCTTAAGAATAATGTTATTAAGAAAAATTTATGTACCTGATATTCCGTCGTATGTCCACCATTCCTCCCAACTACCAGTGATATCTGAAAAAAAAAAACATAAATTATTGTAAAAAAAATTAAATATACTTTAGAAATTGTTTTTAAATTTATCAGAACAGAAAGATATTTTACGTTTATAATCTTCGAATAAAGGCTTAGTTAAAAAAGTTTTATTTTAAAAGACTTCAAATGCTAAAACCTCAGAGTATACATAAGCCATAGACCGCGCGTTTGCGAGTATGAACAGTAAGCACATATATGAACAGTTTCGTTATTGCAAGGGCGACGCTATTAGTTTTTAATAGACACGCGCATTTACCATTTCTCTCGCCGGTATTTGCTCGACTTTTAAGTCACCTTAGTAAAATTTGCAATACTCGTAACAAGTTCTAAAAACGATTCACAACAGTAAACTTACAAGAATAGTGATATTTCTTTTCATCGGTAAGTAATATTTTGATAAGAAAATACTTATTTTTACAAAATATTCAGGGTGTCAAAAGAGTGTTGCAGGAGGTGCGTGGCCGATTCGACACAACACTTGCTCCCCTTTCCCCTTTTAGGCTTTTACTGAATCAAAGCTAATGCTACTTTGTACACGAATATTTTGTAATTACATGATTTCTTTTGTAATAATAATATAATCATAACCCCTTGTATTATAAACCCATATAAATCAATATTTAAAATAAAACTTTTATTAAACTAATTAAACATTAATTATTTGTGAAAAACATTTTAAAATAAAATAAAACATTTTTTCAAAAATATATTGACATTAGAATGAAATATCTTGTACGTTAAACTGCAATCAAGAAAACAAAACGACAAGTTAAAGCTTTCTATAGGACAGTAGATTAATTATACTTTTGTGTTTGATTAATAAACCTCGTTTTATAAATTCGTTCCTGTGTTTTATTGACCTGCTAAAACTTACTAATTAATTTTTACTTATTAATATCACTTTATTATTTATTAATAGTAATTATTAATCATTTTTATTTACCTACATATTATTTATTAAATACTAACCTAATTAAACTAATAACTTAGGGACAATAACGCATAGGCGTTAATCCTGACGCATCACTACTTAACCTATGTATTCGTATATACTTCATCTATGTATCAGTTTATACTGGTAAGCAGGTGTTTCATTTAAATGTAACGGCTCTATTCACTGGAGCAGTGTAGGAATTTTGCATCCCTTTGCGTTTTCTATCGTATCTACAATGGGAGCGTTCTGATGAATTGTTCGGATTAGTTCTAGCCGCCAAATTTCACGAACGCACATCACGTCAAAATTCCCGATACCATCCTCACCATCTGGATGCTTGGCGGTTCACTACTGTATGTTTTACTAGGAGTTTTCTTCCTCGTACAATTTCTCTGTGAAATTGTTTACCACCGGCGACTTTTCCGAGTACCGATATGACTTAGTGACCTTCAAGAAAAGAGCTTACTACTTTCTAAGAGGCCGGCAACACATCTGCAATTCCCCTGGTGTTGCGGTTGTTTATGGGCTGCGGTAGTCACTTACCATCAGGAGAACCGCATGCTCGTTTGCCCCCTCTTCAATAAAAAAAGAAACAAGTGCTTACGCTTGGCATAATGGGAAATGAGCGATACGCGAGTTCTATAGCTTTTTAAATACACTCTAAAGTTAAAATTAATTATTCCATCCCTTTATTTATGTGGTGGTGGGAGTCTTTTCTTCCAATGAGCTTCATAAAAGGCATTTTATAAATGGAAAAAAATCGGAAGGTTTACCGTACATGACGGTATAATCATCTTGTTTACTCCACTTGGTTTTCAATACCTAGACCGGTGACTACGGACAACGTCAAAATGCAAAACGTCTGGTACTGCGCGTTACAATCTGCGTGCTAAGCGTAACAATTAAGGCAATCAAGGCAAACCTTCCTTAAAAAAGAGGATAATTTCTAGCAGTGGAATTCTATGGAACGATAAAGAAGAAGAAATAGAAAGAAGTTAGATAAATACCTTTAACAGATATGGATAAGAGCGTAAGTACGAAAAGCGAGCATTGGAGCATCGTGATACCGCCGGTCACTCTGGGTACTGCATTGGCCGCGGAAATTCTGTAGAAGTGAAAAAAATTGTTAATATTTACCTTATCATGACTTTAGTAATAAAAAAGTTTTGAATTAAAGCATAATATAAATACACCTAATAATATAATATGATATAATATTATATTATTTATAGCTTACATCCGCGCACTCGTCCGCGTAGAACTCAGAAAACTTGCAGATCTATAATTTTTGGTAAGTAGTTAACTATCGGAAACTATTTAAGCTCATTTTTTGCTGATATCTCAAAAGTTATATATTAGAAAAAGCGATTTTACGTAAAAGCTTTTTCCATCGAGACCCATAGTTAAACAATAAAATAAAAGGTGATTTTGCATCAAAACATTAAGAGACCGAAGAAAAATTATAAAGACATTTTTAATTGCAAACCAAAAAAGTGTTTCGAACCTTATTTACATCTCACGTAGTTTATGAGATGATCATTAAAACCATTTATCTTATTTTAGATCGCACAAAATAATAGTCTATATATTTTTTTTTTCGAAAAATCTTCTCTGTCTGTTTGTAAAGTTTCGTCACAACAGGTTTAGCCTTTTCAGAGATTAGTCGGACAGACAAACATACAAAAAAGTTAAAAATTGTTATTAATATCTATACACCATGTAAGTAATTTCCTGAGCTTAATTGGTAGAAGGTAGTTATGTTGATATTTACAAGCGGACACTTTATTACTTGCAGACATTTTATTTATAACGTAATGTGTGTGTAACGTGTATAATATTTTTTATGATAACAAAATTTATTTAACATACTACACTTTTCTTAAATTATGTTATTTTAAAATTGCAGACCATATAATCGCCGTCGTAAAGTAATCCATAGCAGCCTTAAAATAATTACAATACCATTACCATGAAAAGCCCGTAAAACGATCCATTATACTGGCAATATGGTTGAGATAATTATTTAAAATAGCAATTCCTTGCAAGCAGATTGATGGGAAATGGTAAAACTTTAAAACATTTAACTCTGGTTATATGTACGTAGTTCTTGCTTTACGTAGAGAAGCCATGCTATAAAAGTTTATTAAGGCTACAAAGCGAATTGTATTATCTCGACCAGGGAAGGGGATACAATTTTTAAACTTATTAAATTTTTAAATTAATTTTTAGCAACTTTATTTTAATGGAATTATATAATATGTACTTGTATTTATTACATACAAAAATCATCAGACAGCATTTCTCAGTCACAGCGCTCTGTCACAACGGAGACTTGCCATTGGTGCAGGACAGTGAACTAGTGAGTGTGTGTGCACAGGTGCACTCTTCATTCTCCAACTCTCATATTCAGATGGGATGGCAATCTGACATGACCGGTAAGAGAACAGGTGCAGGGGTGAAACACCTCTATCTGTCTGACTCCGGGCTGCTACTGATAATTTAAAGAAGAATCCAATATCTGATTTTACACCAATTCGAAGTTTGAACCTGGAGACCAAATAATCAGCAATTTTTCTTAATACCAGACGAAACAACACAAATATTGAGTTAAAAATAAAACTAAATAAGTAGACGGTCTTATTGCTACATCGCAATTTTATCGTGGAAATAGTTAACATCTCAAACATCAGTGAAGTAAAAGTGGAGAAAGATTTGTAAGGAATCTGGGTAGAAAGTTAAGTTTGACTGGATGCAGGTGTCTCAGGACCGTGCTTTGTGGTATTCCTTGAGGAAGGCCTACATTTAGCAGTGGCTTCAGTCTGATGATGATGATAATGATAGTGCACGAAACGAGTTGATGCTTTCTCTAATGCTACAAGAAGTAAATTAATTATTGATCACCCATATAGATTGATAAAAGACAATTTCTACGAGAAAAATGTCTACCAACATTAGCGTTTGTTACATTAACTGGAAACGCAACTTTTAGATACACCCACATCCGGTAAGCAACGAGCTTTGTCTACCAACCGCTGTTCGCTTCCTGTTTGGCTCCGTATACTTTTAACGACTCAAATTAATGTTGTAGCATTTGCAGCCATACCATGTTAAAATAAGTACGAAACTTGAGTGAAGGAAGTTGAAGCCAGTTTAGATTTATGCATTTCGCAAATGTATTTTTCACAATACTTCTCTTTCGCAGGGGAAAAGTTCATATTTAATGAACCATTCATTTTGTAGTTACTGTATGCTTTTTATAAAATACTATATAAATTATGTTCTCGACATTTTATTTAAAAAATAACAATGCAAAGTAATATATTTAGTCTCGCGGTTATAAAATTAGTATTATTGGTAGTTTATCTAAATGTGAACGCTTGCACCATTATTATGACACTCTTTAAATTTCGCTACAATTTAAATATCGCTATTTTGTTTCTTAATCAATTAACTATTGTTTTCGTATCTGTAAACTATTTTGAACTTAGATTTTTTTAAATAACATTTTATATAGTTTTTTCACTGGGTTGCAAATGTTGTCACTTATCACGTTAGTTGTAAAATGGAGTTTACACGTGATCATAAAAATCGAGACGAATAATGTCAGACTGTTTTATAGTTAAACGTCGGGCATCATCTAGTGACTTTCTTGTTGAATTCAAGTTTAGAAATTTTCTATAAATAATGGTTACAAAAGAATACCGCAAAGTAGCAACCTCATACCAAATTTCCATCAGGTGAGACACATGCTCTTTTGTCTATATGAAAAAGCACAATGTACCGACTGAGCTAATTTTGATAAAACAAGCTGAAAATGGATTGATACGGAAGCCACGATCCTAAAAAAGGAAATAGCAACATAAATAGAACGATGAACGGCAGCTGACGTGGTGAAGATTAGTGTGATGATTTTATATTCTCTAATTATCATTAACGATATTATATATATGAGAACAGAATGCGATATACAAAATAAATGTGTGGTCTTTTATTGGTTTTTAATTACATTGTCTCGTAATTGCTCATTGCGATATCTGTCATAAGTTATGTCTTCTACTAAAATGCTTTAAACTAAGAGATTATTTAACTTTATATAATTCTACATTTCTGTTTCGCGTACTCAGTCCAAACGTAGATAGAAACAAACGATTCAAGCGAAGTTATCAATAACTTTTGGCCGTTTCCCTCTGACGCCAGTCTGGCGGGCGCCAAGGAGTCTGTGTCTGCTCCCTAAAGTAGATTGTTGCCATAAAGTTTCTATACTATAGATATGTGTTAGTAATTGTACGCCACTGTTGTGTACAGTTTAAAGTGTTTCATTATTTAGTTATACCGGAGTGAAACGGAACATATAAAATGATAATAACTATATTTATTTTTATTATGAAAAAAGAAATTTACATGTGTTCAGAGGCTGATGATGATTTAAATGACGAAATTTTCAACATGTACTTAACTATAAATTAGCAATATATAAAAGCAAAAAAGGTGTTGTTATTAGTATATTCTCATATTATAATAATAATAATTATGTATTTTTACGTGTTTATTTTATTTTATTAATATTTATGTTTATATTCAACATTTTCATTTACAATTATATATTTATAAAACCCAACCAGATGAGAAAACTATAAAGATAATATTTATTGTTATTATTTTTCATCACCAAATCACAGTCCATCGCTGATCATTACATCTCCAATTGCAATGGTGATTAATTATTTATTGGTTTGATACCATAATCGCCACGTATTGTATTTTTAACCTTGCACTTTGTTACAGGACGTAGTATACGATATGGTTATATAGTGGTATTATCATATCCTGTCGAAGACCTATTCAACTTATTCCAATGATGAGGATAAAATGTGGTGATGGTTATTTTTACGCAACGCGCAATTTTATATTTTAACCATTTCGCTATCCCGTGTGCTACATAATATAGGCTATTGTCTTACTATTGTGTCTATCGCTAAAGAACACCGATTCCGTGCAATGATGATTCGTGAGGCTATTGAAATAAAAAGACATCATAATTTCAATAGGGAAGATAGCTGGGTGCTACTATCTGCTTCGGATCCTATAATTAATGAAATTAAATCCCAACCCAAGCACACAACTGCAAGATTTCAAGATATCATACTGCGTAGATCGGAACAAAAATTAATAAATTGAATCTGGAGGTAGTCGTGGTTAATGCATTGCATCGACGTCAAACAAATAAGTGCCATGTACACCCCGTGACCATGGGTGCTGTAAAGTGCTTAAAAAGACGGGAATATAAAATAAGGTTAACGCGATAAAATCCCCCAAAACTAGTTTTATTTAAATAAAAAATAAACAAAAAAAATAAAGCAAATTTCACAATATGCTTTAGCACTGACTAAGAAAAATTACAATCTCAGTCGTCGTAATTAAAATAAAAATATCACCCCATTTTACCACCCGATTTTTTTTTTCAAATTTATGTGGGGCTTCTACCGGAGTATATAACACTTTTGAATAAAAAATATACACACAAAATAAACGTAAAACATACAACCTTACTTTGTGTTTGATTAGTGAAATCGAATAAACAACAAAATTTTACAATTTTAATAATATATTGATTGGTCAAAATTTATTAATATTTATGTCTAGAAAAATAAAAATATCAACACAAACATAGAACAAAGAAAAACAAAACAAACGTGGATTCGGTAGAAAAAAGGGGAAGAAAACAAACAAGCATTAATCAAGTAGAGGAGTTCGTTCAAACTCCAAATATTTTCGTGAACAATCGTTTTATCGTCAGTCGTTGGCAAGCGTTGATAAGAGAGTTGTTTCGTCAATGCTATTCTATTAAAATTGTATTTTTATGTTATAAATAAAAATAAGTCTTGACTTTGCGGCACCAAAACCTGCCAAGCTTGTTTTAATATGGCTCATTTTTCAATCAGAAGTGAATAAGAAAAAACCAGATATTTTTTTTATTAGTATATGGGTGACAAACGAGCACACAGTCCACTTGAAGGTAAGTGGATGCTTGGCCCATAGATATCTACGTTTAACCTCGACTATGAAACAAAATGCAGATGTGTTTTCAACCCTGAGGACTAAGAT